CCCCAGCCGTGACGTCAGGCCAGGCGGGCGGAGGGGGATTCCTGCGGGAGCCGCGCTCGCCCGAGCACCCGCCGGCCGGCAGGGGGTCCCGGGCGGCGGTGGGTGGGAGCCGGCCTGCTCGCTCTGCCCTCCGCCCGCACCCTCGGGGAAGGGGCCCCGACCCCGTCCGGCCTCCGCAGACCGCTCCTGCTGCGGGAAGTCTCCGCCCTCCAGACCCACCGCTCCCTCGCGCCTTGGGTCTCCAGCGACAGTTTGGGGCTCGGGAGGTCACCCCGTCCCCACACCCACGTGGGCTGCCCAGCCCCCACGCTGGCGGGCCCTGAGTGTCCGCTAGGGGGCAGCATCGGCGCTGCTCCACCCCCACCTCTCCTCTGAACAGGGACTAGGGGAACCTATCCAGGAAGCTCCTGTATGGGGGAGCAAACACCACACCTGGGTAACAGTCTCATTTATTTGCAAAGAAGAGACGGCAGGTGACTCAGAAGTCCTCTGCTGCTGGGACCCCTTGCCCCAAGGGCACCTGGACTCCTGAGGCCAGTGGGGGGTGGAGGGTGTGCTGGGGCACCCATTCCTCACAACTGCTGGGAGGCCAGGACCTCAGGGTTATTGTAACAGTGGGCCTCTTTGGCAGTGGTCTCAGCGGAGCTGCAGGGGCTGCAGTAGGTCACTAGGCGGTCCCAGGGCTCCAGAGAATGGAGCCACAGGGGGAGCCAGGCCCAGGACCGCAGGCCGCGGGGCAGCCAGGCTGGCCGGTGCCGCTGCAGGATGTTGACCAGGACCACGAAGAGCACTAGCCCCACCAGAGGACCCCCAACGGAGGCCAGCACCCTGTCCCCTGCCAGGGAGAGTCCGAAAGCCGCCAGGGGCAGCAGCAGGAAGCTGAGCAACAGGTAAGCAATAGCAACCCAGCGGTAGCGGGCAGTCAGTTTACCAAAGCGCTGGGCCAGGGGGATGGGCAGCCGCAGGATGGGCACCACGTACCACAGCAGTATGCCGGCCAGGTTGAAGAAGAAGTGGATGAGGGCAACCTGGTGGGAGGGGAAAGCAGGAAGGGGTCAGAAGTCCGGGCCTGACAACACGGGTCACCTGGGTTCTCCAGGACCCCTGCCCCTCCCCACCCTGCAGAAACTGCCCCAAGTCCGAAGCTTGTCTAGCATCCTGCTCAACAGCTGAGATGGGCCACCTGGGAGGACAGACTCTGGACAGGTGTGGGCAGGCTCCTCCTGCACCACCATCCCACACACACGGGGGTGGGGGGCGGGGGGCGGGCAGGAGCCCAGTCCAGCCCCCCAGTGAGGTAGCTGCATCACTGCTGCCTCCAAAGGATGACCAGCCATGGAGCTTGCCCTCGTCTAGACTGACTCAGCTTTGTCTGTGCCTCCTGCCTAGGGAACCCTACTCCTCATGCCTGAGTGAGCTTTGCCACTCCAGCCTGGGCTCCTGTGGGGAGGAGGCACAGGGCCACACATGGAGAGAACACTGTTCTCCAAGTGGTGCCAGACTCAGAAGAGTCCTAGTGTGGGTGCAGTCTGGATGGCTGCCTGCAGTGGGTGGAGCACGGCCCTGCAATGAGAGGGTCCGAATGGACAGAGGCAAGGACGCAGGTGGGAGTTGGGGGAGGCCAGAGTTAATCTCTTCATGTGAGCAGCACCCAGCCTGATCCAGGATTTGAGGGATTGAGCCTGTCTATACTCCCAGGCAGAGGAGGCAAGCTTGAGCCAGGGCAGAAGACCACAGAAGGGGTGTTTTAGAAAATCAGCAGGACTAAATGGCACTGAGTATGGGGCACAGAGCTGGGTAACTGAGAGTTGAGGGGAGGCGTCCTGGAGGCAGAATCACGGCCAGGGACCAAGGTGGCATTGGGTGCCCAGCTCAGGTGACATGGGGCCTTTGTGGGATGGGGGCTAGGAAGACGCATCATTGTCCAGGTGGGAGCTGTAGGGATTAGGTGGCTAGTGCACGGGGAGAGGCATCTTGGAGAGGGTGGAATAGAGGAGCTTGGAGGCCCACAAGGCTGGGGCAGGCCTCCAGGGGACACAGTGAGGAGCACAGCGTGGAAGATGGAGTCGTCAGGGTCCCTCAGGGGAGGCTGATGAAGGGCTGCCAAAGAGAGAGGCAACGGGCATGGGGGTTGTCCCAGGGCCATGCCCTGAGAAAACGATCCTGGAAATGATGAAGTCTCAGGCCAGGAGTAATGGGCTGAGGGCCCAAGAGATGTCTGTGGGGTCCATGGGGTCCGAGGAGGTGGGGCTGCAGGCTTACAGCTGGCAGCCAGAAAGTGGTCCAAGAAGAGCTTGGGCCACGGCCAGCCTGGGCCCCCAGGGCAGGTTGCACACCTCTGTCTGCAGGGCTGGACTTGGGGTGCTGAGCCTGACAGGATGCTTCAGGCCAGTGCTGGGAGTGGGGAGGGGCCTAGGAGCAGGGAAGGGACCTAGGGCAGTACCTGGACCGCGTAGAGCAGCATGTCGGAGGGGCTGGCCAGGGCGGCCAGCAGGGCCGTGGTGGTGGTGCCGATGTTGGAGCCCAGGAAGAGGGGGTACGCCCGTTCCAGGCTGATCACCCCGACCCCTGGGGGAGCAGGGGGGTCACCACAAGGCCTCAGCCCTGAGCCCCCACCCCCGGAGGGAGGCCCCCTGCCCGCTGGGCTCACCCATGAGCGGCACGACCGCTGCCGTGAAGACGCTGCTGCTCTGGAGCACGAAGGTCAGGCCGGCGCCCACGAGGATGGCCAGGTAGCCGCTGAGCCAGCCGAAGGGGAAGGGGAAGTCTGGGGGCGGGGTCAGCCCTGCCCGCGCCCCGCCCCTGCCCCGCCCCGCCCCCGCCC